TGTGTGTGTGTGTGTGTGTGTGCATGTGTGTGTGTGTGTGTGATGTTTTGTTATTTTGAGAGCTTGCCATCCATGCTGACTATTTAACAGCAGTGAGAACCAGGGTCAGAAATTAACTTTTACATTAAGGGACAATATTTGACCCCTCAAATGTATTTGCAGAGGCATTTATTATTATTATTATTTATTTATTATTTTATAATTACTGAATCAATTATATAAATCAATCAGAATGCTGTTTTACATTAGTTTGTTTTGCTACAAATGAATTTTAATTTGGATCTTACTCCTTAACTCTACTTTCACTATTAATTTCACTCATTACATTACAATAGATATCCACACAAAGAAATAGGTAAGATTCTGTCATACTGTTCACTTTTCTTTTGTAAAACACTAAAGGAGAAATTTAGAAGAATGTTCATGCTGCTCTGTTCCACATACAGTATAATTAAGGTTAACAATCCATAGAATTTGTGCAGAAATTCTCTATACATTGCAAAGATATGTAGCTAAGTGTGGGCAAATAATACGAAATTAAAGATTATTCTGTGAAGCTCTTGCATTCACACCAAGTTTGACGTCCATGACACCAAATGTCACTGGTTCAAGTTTGAATATTCACATGAGATTTCAGAACTTCTGCGGTGAAGGAGATTTTCAGACTCTCGGGACTTTAGGAGATTTGGAATACAGTGCAGAGTCATATGAACTATTTATGTATTTATTGTGTGTGTGTGTGTGTGTGTGTGTGTGTGTGTGCATGTGTGTGTGTGTGTGTGATGTTTTGTTATTTTGAGAGCTTGCCATCCATGCTGACTATTTAACAGCAGTGAGAACCAGGGTCAGAAATTAACTTTTACATTAAGGGACAATATTTGACCCCTCAAATTTATTTGCAGAGGCATTTATTATTATTATTATTATTTATTTATTTTATTATTTTATAATTACTGAATCAATTACATAAATCAATCAGAATGCTATACATCAGTGGTTCTCAACATTTCCACTGGTTTCCAGCATGATATTTGAAGGTTCCTCCTACACACCTTTTATGGTGTTCCTGCTGTAATTATGACAAGCTGCTTATTTTCAAAATGTTGTGGTATATTGAAGTCATTAACATGGTTTTAAATATTAAATACTATTTTTTTTATTCCAGAAGTAATGGTTTATAGTCCAGAACTGTATGGTCTTCAATAAAACAATAGTTATTGAGGAAACATATATATATATGATTTCATTTTACGGTGGGCTACATCTAGATTTTGTGTGTCTATTTGGAACAACATGACTGAGTAAATCATTTTTTTTCTGAACTATGAACTAACTAATGAACTAGTCCTTTAGAAGCATGTGCATCTACTCCAGGAGTGCCACACTTTACTCCTGAAACACTGAACTATCCAGCAGAGTTGAGCTCAGCCCTAATTAAACACACCTGAAGCGGCTAATCGAGGTCTTCAGGGTCACCAGAAGCTTCCAGACAGGTGTGTTGTATCAGGCTGGATCTGAACTCTCTCCCTCGAGGAGACGGATTGGATTCATGCAGAAAGATTTCATTTTGACTTGAAGTTGACATTTAAAATGTTGATAAATAAGAGGCGGCTTATTAATGACAGTAGGTCAAAGGGGTCAGAGGCCGTGGAGACATAATAATGAGCTTATATTTATTACAATCCGAACTGATTCCATGCCGATGCTAAGATATTGTCAATTTGTGTCAACGTGATTTATTGCGTCTGCGCACACAAAACTAATAATAAGCGTATTTTGCTCCATTCAGCTTCGCTCTAAGCAGCGGCGCAGCATCAGAACAGAAAGATTGTGCTTCTTTCCAGGGCTTTCGCTCCGAGAAATTGATTAAAGCCCAAACCTGACTGCGGCGATCCATACACTTAACCAAATTAGGAAATATATATATAAACTCATTCCAATTAATTTCCTGCGAGGGTCAAATCTGTTGATACCACAGACAGTGTAATGTACAGAGACGGCGGCGTGTGTCTGTAAACGCATGACTAAATCTGTGATGTTTACGATTGCAGAAACGCTCCGAACGGTCAGTAAATGAAAGCGAAACACTGCCGTTCTTACAGCTGGAAGCTTTTATCATATCTGGCTGTTTCTTCCACTTTCCTGTTCCAGCGGTTGATTGCACACAAAACTAATAATAAGCGTATTTTGCTCCATTCAGCTTCGCTCTAAGCAGCGGCGCAGCATCAGAACAGAAAGATTGTGCTTCTTTCCAGGGCTTTCGCTCCGAGAAATTGATTAAAGCCCAAGCCTGACTGCGGCGATCCATACACTTAACCAGATTAGGTTAGAAATATATAAACTCATTCCAATTAATTTCCTGCGAGGGTCAAATCTGTTGATACCACAGACAGTGTAATGTACAGAGACGGCGGCGTGTGTCTGTAAACGCATGTCTAAATCTGTGATGTTTACGATTGCAGAAACGCTGCCATTCTTACAGCTGGAAGCTTTTATCATATCTGGCTGTTTCTTCCACTTTCCTGTTCCAGCGGTTGATTTTATGAAAACAATAAAAATCACTCTAAAACGGTCTTGTTAAAATGTTTTACTTTCAGCTTTCATTTTTACTACAAATGGCTTTTATGCAGATTTCACTGCTTTAATCTTTGCTTCCAATGCTAAACTATAAAAATCCATTATAAAAATATAACGTGTGAATAACTAATACATGTGAATAAACTAAACAGGATAAAATGACCCATTTTATTATATATTGCATGAAAATTATTTGTGTGAAGGTTATTCATATTTTATTATAATTATTATAATAGTTTATTCCCTAATAAAGCTTTATCTAAAGTTAATTAATTAATTAATTTATTTATTTATTTGCTTGTTTGATTGTTTGTTTTAACAAATAATGCAAGAAGAGTGTAAACATAATTAAAATGTATAACATATAAACTGAATAGAGTAAAATAAACCAATTCATTATTTATTGTGTGATTTATTGTATAATTTCTTCTGATTATTATAGTAAATATTCTCTTTTAAAGCTTTCTCTAAAGTTTCTTCTTACATCTTTTTAAACCAAATTATGCAAGAATAAACATATTTAAATTATTTAATATAATATGTAATGTATAAACAAAACAGATTATAAATGAACCATTAATATTTATTGTGTGAAATGATTTGTGCGAAGATAATTAATAATTAATAAATATTAAAATAACGTATTCCCTAATAAAAGCTTTATCTAGTTATTTCTTACTTTTGTTTTTACCAAATTACACAAGTGTGAAAATATATTTAAAATAAATTATATAATGTACAATGTAGAAAATACATACAGCCATTTTAATATTTATTGTGTGAAAATTACTAATTTATTGAAATTATTATAATAATTTATTTCCTAATAAAGATTTACTTTTTAACTTCTTTTTTTAACCAAATTATGCAAGAAGAGTGAAAATATATTTAAAATATATATAATATATTGTAAAATGTATAAACTGAACAGAAATAAAATATTTCAACATTTATTGTGTAAAAATGATTTATGTGGAGATAATAATTGACTGCAATTATTACAATTTATTCTCTAATAAAGCTTTATCTAAAGTTACTCTTTTCTTTTCTTTAAAGGTCCCATGGCATGAAAATTTCACTTTATGAGGTTTTTTAACATTAATATGAGTTCCCCTAGCCTGCCTATGGTCCCCCAGTGGCTAGAAATGGCGATAGGTGTAAACCGAGCCCTGGGTATCCTGCTTTGCCTTTGAGAAAATGAAAGCTCAGATGGCCCAATCTGGAATCTTCCCTTTATGTCGTCATACGGGGAAAGGTTACCTCCCCTTTCTCTGCTTTGCCCGCCCAGAGAATTTGGCCCGCCCATGAGAAAATGAGCTACTACTGACATTTTTGAAAAGAAAACTTTATATTTAATTAGCTTGGCATGTATTATAATTAGAATAATTATTAATTTTATTAATAAATAGATATAAGAAAATGTTAGAAATAGAAATATATTTACTTAATATGTTTATAAATAATAATAAATTATATATAGAGAGCGAGAGAGATGTTTTTTTTTTTTCAAAACTGCTTCACTGCTTGTTTATCTCTGAAAAATCTATTAAATCGAAGTCATGTGAAATGACCAACAAAAGTCGTGTGGTCTAACCAACATGCAGAATCATGGAGAAAGAAATATAAAACATGAAATGATATCATT